CTTATAATATCTTGTTCAAGAGCATCACTAATAACTTATTTAAAAAAGGTCTTGAGGGCTGGTGAGATGGCTCAGTGGTCTAAAGCACCTATTTAAAACAAGCTTAGCAAAGCACAAGGACTGTGGTTCAATCCCCCAGCACCACATGCTAGCCAGCCCCGCCCCCAGGTGGGCTGAGCTGGCCACACACACACACACACACACACACGTAAATTAAATAAATTTAAAAAAAAAAAAGGTCTTGAGGTCCTCAAGCAAAGACCCTTAGTAGTACTATATCACCTGACAATTCCTTCCTCCTTCCTTCCTTTTCTTCAAATTCTTTTTTTTTTTTTTTTTGGCCACACTGAAAACTGAAACTAGGGTCTTCAAACTGAGCTACATCCTTAACACTTTCTTGTGGTTTTCATTTTGAAACAGGGTCTTGCTAAGTCACGAAATGCCCACACCGGGCTTAAAGTTGTCATCCTCGTCCTCAGCTTCCCAGAGTGTTAGTATGACAGGCGTGTACCATCATGCTCAGCTTTTATTTTTCTGTGTGAGGGGTGGGGACCTGGGGGGGCAGGGTTGAAATCTAGGGCCTTGTGCACACTAGGCAAGCACTCAAACACGGAGTTATTTACCCAAGTTGGTAGAAGTCTTTTTAAAAGAGGCCTCGGTAAGATACAGATACTCCTTTTGCTGGCTTCATGAATCAGCCATGTGGGTGGAACCGCAGCTACCCTCTAGAAGCTGTGACAGTGAACTAGCTGCACAAACAAGTCCTACAGCTGTATGGAAATACATTTTGCCAAGTACACAAGTAAGTGGAGAGAATCTTCCCTAGTGAAGTGTCTCTGAACAACCAGATTAGAATGCAGCCCAACCAGTGCTTTGACTGTATCTTGGTGAGAAACCGGGCAGAGCGCTTACCTAAAGTGCTTTCTGGACTTTTCACTCAAAAAAAAAGAGATAAAAAGTATGTGTAGGGGCCGGAAAGACAGCTCAGTAGAATAAGCGCTTGCCTGGCAAGCACAGGGTCCTAAATTCAATCCCCGGCACTGGGAAAAGAAAAAAGAAAAGAAAAGAAAGAAAAAAAGAAAAGTATGTGTTGTTGGGCTAGGAGTGTAGCACTTCGACAGAAAGCAGGCTTACTATGTATGAGGTCCTGGGTTCAATACCAGGACTAAAAATAAAAAGGGGGATTATGTTGTTTTAAGCCTCTAAACATATCCACAACAAACTCTTTTTAAAAGAGCAGACAAAGCATCTAGGCATGGTGGCACACACCTATAATCCCAGCACTTGGAATGCTGAGGCAGGAAAATCACCAGAAGTTTGAGGCCAGCCAGGGCTGCATAGTGAGTTCAAAGTCAGTTTGAACAAGTAACAGTTGTAAAGCATCTGTCCAAGTACAACACAACCAAAACAGTGTTTCTCAAAATATATCTGAGTAGTGTTACTCACCATGAAAATGAACAATTTTCCTTTTCAAAACAACCCTCTTGCAGTTAAAAGTAAAATCTGTTGCTCTTTTTTTTTCTCCTGCAGAATTTCTAAACAAGTTTTTTGTTGGCGGTGGTTTTGGAGTTTTGGCCTTTTTTTTTTTTTTTTTTTTTTTTTTATGTATTTGGTACAGGGTCTCACTACACAGTTTGGAGTTGGACTTGTAGTGATCCTCCTGTTTTCAGCCTCCCCAGTGCTGGGATTACAGGTGTGCATCACCACACTTGAACTCAGTGGCCAGCTCAGCATGCCCAGGGGGCAGGGCTGCCATGGCATGTGATGCCAGGGATAGAACCCTGGCCCTTGTAATTGCCTAAGCAGGCACTTAGTCCACTGAGCTATCTCACTGGCTTTTTTCTTCTTCTTCTTTTTTTTTTTTTAATGTCTTTTTATACAGTTCTGGCTGGCCTTGAACTCACAATGCAACGTAAACTAGCTTCACACTCAAGACAATACTCCTGCCTCAGCTTCCTGAGGGTTGGGATTATACATCTACCATTCCCAGAAGTAAACAGGTTTTTAAAAATGTTGATTCAGGGGGCCTGCCCATTAGCTCAGTTATTTAAGTGCCTGCTTAAACAAAGCAGTCAGGCTCAGGTTGCTGTGGTTCCATCCCTAGAACTCAAGGCAGCTAAACCTGCCCTGAAGGCATTCTGAGACAGCAAAAAAAAAAAAAAAAAAGTTGATTCAGAAACTGCCATATAGGTACAAGATTAGAGGGAAGAAAAGTATTTAATGCACACTAACATTAAGTGTACATTTGTCCTTTGACTTAGAACATACACCATAAAAATTTTCCGCTGAAAATGCACCTCCACAACTGTGAAAATACATACAGGACATTTACTCACTGCACATTACCCATGAATGCTCAAAAAGTTGTGTAGAAAGAGTGCAGAGGTCAAGATAGTTCTCCTGCTCAAGCATCAAACCTACAAAGTACATTCTTATGTGAAAGAAAAAAATATTGAGTATGAAACAGACACAGTAGTGTACATGTTTAATCCCAGCTACTCAGGAGGCAGAGAAAGGAGAATAGCAAATTCAAGGCCAGCATGGGCTACTTAAGATTTTGTTCTCACAAATTTCTTAAGAGGTAGGGATGTAGCTTAGTGACACAACCTTTGCCTACCATGCACAAGATCCTCGGTTCCAACTTCAGGACCATTAAAAAAAAAAAAAAAAGAAAGAAAAAGAAAATCCTTTGAAGATTAATGCCTTGAACATATATCAAAATTATGAAGTATCACTCAGGGAAGAACATATAAATGAGTGCCTTCCTAATAATATACAATTGGAAACACATATTACCTACAAACTACCCTACAAATATTCTAAGTCTACTGACTAGGTACCAAATGTCACACAGATTTATCGGAAGGCCACCAGCATTCACAGCTGTCCACGACAGATACAGATTTGGATAATTAAGCACTATGGCTCAAAAACATGTACAATCTAGAAACCTTGAATGGATTTCAGATCCAAAAGCACCCAAAACCTACTTTTGTTTTTTTTGCTTGTTTGTTTGTTTTAATTTTTATTTGTGTGTCTGTGTGTGGTCAGTTCAGCCCACCTGGGGGAGGGGCTGGCTGGCATGTGGTGCTGGGGGATTGAACTGCGGTCCCTGTGCTTTGCTAAGCTTGTTCTAAGTAGGTGCTTTAGACCACTGAGCCATCTCACCAGACCCCCAAAACCTACTTTTGGTACAATGTGGAGAATTTTGTATTTTTTAGAGCAGGAATTGCATGGTGTTATTGTTTTCAACTTTCTTCTTTTCCCTCTCTCCCTCCCTGCCCCTCCTCTCCCTCTCTTCCCTTCCACTCTCCCTTTTTCTCCCTCCCTTCCTGCAGGATAACCTGGAACTCACAGTGATTCTCCTGCTTCAGTTTCCCCAGCCCTGGAATAACAGCTATGTGCCAACACACTTAAGATTAGTTTTTTATTTTTTATTTATTTTTTAAATTAGTTTTTTAATCTTCTTGACTGAAATATTTTGCTTTTAGTAAGATAATGTCCTTATCTTACTAAAGATACACACATTACTAAGTCATTAAAATACAATTGTCATGTCTACCACTTACTTTCAACTTACTAATAAATAGTACCACATATTTGGCAGACAGCAAAACACGTTACACATGAGTAAAGTTACAATGGGTATTAGATGTTTTATCAGTACGTTTTAAGATTGTGCAGGGCCAGGGAGATGGCTCAGTAGAATAAGTGCTTTCCTGGCAAGCACAAGGGCCTGAGTTCAACCCCCAGTTCCGCACCAAAAAAAAAAAAAAAAAAAAAAAAAAAAAAAAAAATTCAAAAAATAAAACGTGAAGTACACTTAACCTAACAATAGTGTTAGGCGTTAATCCATCATTTATGGTTCAAGAATAATAAGGCCTCCATTCTTTCTTGTTGTCTCTTTTTAGGCTCAATGGAAATGTATTGGAGAAACAGAACAGCTAAGAAGCCATAGTTTTCGGGTCTTTTTTAAAGTTTTTTTTGGTTTTTTTGGGGGGGGTTTTTTTTTTGGTTTTTTTTTTTTTGTTTTTTAGGGAAGGGTTTACAGGATGTTCAGGGTCTCACTACTAGATCAGACTCGTAGTGATCCGCCTGTCCACAGCCTCCCAAGTGCTGGGATCACACGAGTGAGCCACCACACCCAGTCTCCATTGCAGTCTCAGTGCGTCCCGGCATCAGGGGATAGAATCCGCTGAGCTATTTGGAGGCCATAGTTTTGAGATTCTGGTCTACTAAAATTTAGTTTGGGGCCAGGGAGATAGCTCAGAGCAATAAGTGCCTGCCTGGCAAGCGCAAGGTACTGAGTTTGATGCCTGGTACCACCAAAATAAATAAAATAATAATAAAGTTCATAGCCACAGACAAAAAAGTGCACTTTCTATACATTCAAGAAAGTATTTTTCTATTTTTATTTTTTATTTGTTTTCGTTTTCTGAGACAGGGTCGCATTATGCAGTTCAGATTGGCCTGGAACTGACTGTAGCTCAGGCTGGCCTCAAATTGGCAGGAATCCTGCGGCCTCATCCTCCTGAGGGTTAAGATATCAGGCTTGCTTCACCAAGCCCGGCTGAAACCTCGTTTTTCTCCCGAAAGTGGTCAAAATAAAATACGATCTAACAAGACAAAGCCAAAAATCTCAAGTGAAACATTGTTTCTCTAAAAACAAAGAAACATGTCTATTTGACACAATGTCTCTCTAGGTTGCCCAGGCCGGATTCTTATTTTCGAGATCGGTGCAGCCACCCGGAGCGCTGGGATTCCGGCGTGAAGCGGGTAACAGCGGGCGCGCCCCAGGCCCCGCCGAGCGCACCCGAGCCCACTCCTCCCGGCGCCGACGCCCGCGGCCTCTCCAGCTGCCCGCGCCCGCCCAGCCCGCGGCCTTCGCCCGCCCGCCCTGCGCGCCAGCTCGCTCCCCCGAGGCGCCTCCGCGCCCCGGGCCAAACCCGCCCTTCCACATCCCCTCTGCCCCCAGGCAGTCCCCAGGCCGCGGAACTCACAAAAGCCGGAGTGGCCCGCACGACTCGGAAGGTAACAAGTCTCCAGGCTCGCCCAGGCACGGCCGGAAGAGAGCGCGCCGGCGCCGACGTCATTTCCGCTCGCGCTCGGCCGGGGGCGGGGCCGGGCCGGGCAGTCGGCGCTCCTGGCAAGAGTCCTAGTCTCCTGCGGCGGGGTTCTTCGCCCGGCTCGCGGCGGGGCTGGTGGTCAAAAAGGGGCACGACTGAGGTTGGCGGGACTCCGAGCTGCTAGGAGTCGTGGCGTGGGGGCCGGGTTGGAGGTGGGGTCGGGCCTGTTGCGAGGATCTGCTTGGGGCTTCACCCACGGAATGCTCAACCAAAATTTTTTTTGGTGTTTTGAGGTAGGGTTTCGGCTGGCGTGCAGCTCACTGTGTAGCCCAGACTGGCCTTGAACTCACACCTCTCAGTCCCAAAAGCCTATGGAAAGAATCTGAGAGACTAAAAGATTTAACTGTGCTTTGGAGAATCACTAAAATAATCCCAAATCCCACTGCTTAGTGGGAGTTGGTATTCGCTTTTAACCAACCCACTTGCTAATAGATGAATCCCACTGGCAGCAAAAAGGTCAAAACCCTCAACAACAGAACTCTGATTAAAGCCACTACTTTTGACTTTATCCATAGCAAGCTGTCACAAGCTCAGGGGCACAGCCACTATCGGGCCAGTGCAAGGTCCAGAGTTCAATTCCCAGAACCCTCCCCCCTCAAAAAAAAATTGAATATCAGAACAAGCTGTCACAAGCTAGCACCCCTACCCCAAACTTCACAAGGTAAGTACAGACCCCTGATAAGCTCCAGTCATTCTTCCCAGTGCATTCTGACCCATCTTTGCCAATAGATAACACCCATAGACCTCCGGATCTAAAGCCACAAGGCCTTCTGTAAGCCTAAGGGAGTGGTCTTGACAAACTATTCTTATGTGTATATTTTTTGCAATTTTAAACATAATGTATGTTCTTCTCAAAGATCTACAGGGTTCTGATGATCTCAAAGACATTTTGATAGATTTGCTTCCAGACCCTTTCCCACATCTTCAAACCCAACACCTGTCTCTGACCCTGAAAGTCCCTCTCTTGGAGACTCACACGCTGTTTCTCTTGACAGTGTCCTCTGGCCTTAGGAAACTTTTCTTTACTCTTATCCTTGCTTGGGTAAGCTCTTTTTACTGTTGTACAGGGTAATTTGATAGGCAGTAAAGGGCATCTGTTGCATTTCTTGGCCTTTCTTCTCTGTGGTTCTTGTAGATGGTTAGCAGATCAGCCTGTGGGCAACTGAAGGGTCCTGGTCAGAGCAACTTCCTGGTGGGTCTGGAAGGCCTCTGGGCTGTGACCCTGACCACCATGCACCGACCAACATCAGTGTATAAGTTGAACAGTTCCATTCAGCCTTGCAAAATGTTTTAACTTGCTTTTGTAACTGAGGGACTCTGGCCAGGACCACTGTCCAGTGGGACCTGAAAGAAGCAGAAAAAGTACGCCAGTCATAGTCCATCAGGGGAAGAAGACGCTTTTCTTCTGTTACAACCTCCCTTGCTCTTGGCACACAGCAGTTGGTGGCAGAAGCTTTTCCATGGCAAGTCGGTGTACGCTGTGAGGATTCTTGATCTTTCACTGTCTGCTCATACTGCACTGCTGCTGGCCTCTGGCTTCACCCTCTCTCAGCTGAACTTCCGGACTCAGAAGACTCCTGAGTAACCCACTTTTCCATCTCCACAGGAAGGCGATCTCCTCTTACCCACTCAGTACAGAGGAAATCAGTACACAAGGGCAGTTCAGGCCATGTTTGGCTGCTGGAACCACCAGGGACTCCAAAGTGAAGCCCAGTTTCATTGTTGGGAGTTGAAGCCTCTTTTCCCAGGGGATGCCCAAGATTAGAGGCCAATTGATGATTTTTGAGATCCTTAAGGGACACCTGGGCAGACACTGTATCTCCCTAGCCTGGAATGTATTCTTGAAAATTTGTCCAAATTTGACTCATGAGATCTAAAAAAAAAAAAAAAAAAAAAGAGTTTCCTTTGCCTATGCAATACCACTTGGCCTAAATATAAATTTCTAGGTTAGGAACTTTGGTTCCTTAGTGGCACTCTGAATCGTAATACCATAGTACCATTAGCTCTTCCCTGCAGTCAGAAAGGACTCTTGAGGTTCCTTACATTTGGGCCTTCCCTGCCTGTCCCACAATCCCCATCTGCAGGAGGCCAGGGTTTGTGCCTCCTGCAGTTCACCTTTCTTGATTCCAATTTCTGAAACTGATGTCTGTGATGACCCCTTTATCAGTTTTTCTCAGACCCAAGTTCCTTTCCATCACTCTCCCTCTGTGTCCCAAAAGCCCTTTCCTCTTCCTGGTTCTTATTGGTGCAACTCTATGATGATAAAATAAGAAGAGCACCACAATGTATCTCTGGTCCTGACTCACCTGAAAGTAAAAGGTACTAACTGGTACCTCTTAGAAAGAGTTCTGGGCCTGGGAGATAGCAGCCTAAAGAACCTGCTTAGGCAAGCTTAAACAAAGTACAGGGACTGAAGTTCAATCCTCAGCACCACATACCTAACCAGCCTCATCCCCACGGTGGGCTGAGCCAGCCACAAAAAAGAAAAAATAAAGTTCTGACTAGTCTATTGTTATAAACCTAAAACTAAGAGAAAAAGGATTGTTATAATTCAAAATGGCCAGTACATCTAAAAGTGCATTTTGAGCCAGGTGTGGTGACACACACCTGAAATTCCAGCACACAGGAGGCTGAGGCAGGAGGATTGTTTCCAGTTCAAGGCTAGTCTGGGCTGCACAGTAGGTTCAAGACTACCCTGAACTACATAGAGAGGCCCTGTCTCCAAAAGATAAATAACTTTGACTTTATATGTCTTATGTGCTTTTCTGATGTTAATCTGTGTTTATAATTGGGTAAAAAAGAAAAACAAAAATTCCCCATGGGCCTTTGGGTTGTGAACTGCTAGATAAACCCTCCCCGTCACCCTCATCAGCTGAAAAGGCAGCTGCCTAAACCAGTTTGCTCCGGTTTTCCCCAAACTTTTATTATAGCCCATCCCAACCTCAGGATTAGAAAAAAAAAATGTTGGTGAATGACCAATATGATTTCAAAAAAAGATCCAGATAACTGGGCGTGATGGCACATACCTATGATCTGATCACCTGGGAGGCTGAGGCAGGAGGATCAGTTAGTTCAAGGCTAGCCTTGTCTCCAAAATAGCCCCACGTAAGATCACAGTGAGCAGGGAGTGAGCCCTCCTCACTACAGCAGCAACAGAGATTAAATTCCAAGCTCAAGGTCTTGGCAAACAAATAGAGAAAAAAAAAAATGTGCAAAGTGCCCACGCCAGAGATAAACATGGCCAAAAAGATAAAGACAGGAGAGGAAGTCCTGGACCTCAGACTGCCTCAGACGGGACCCTAAACCCCAGCTGCCAAAGGGAGCAGTAGGTCAGGCTGTAAAAGTGGGTGGTGAGTGAGAAAGTGCCACACGCAGCCTGCACAGGCAGGCGGGCAGAGGACAAAGCGGGGTTTCACTTCCGTCTCCAGATCTGGTGTTGCAGTGGGGATGACAAACCTTCCTAACAGCCCACGTGGAGTCATGAAGAACCCTTTTGAAAGGAGGTTGGTGGGCTAACTGTCCAATCTGCTTTTCTATGGTTCCAGTGAATATCTTTGTCTAACCAGCCGGGCCTAAGACGCTTTTTGCAAAACAACACTGAGGTTGTTCTTAAATTGCACCCACAGGGTTAATTTACTCTTCTGGGCTTTCCACTTGATCTGAGATAATTTTGTCCTTGAAGGTCAGGTAAATTTAAAGGTTTGTCAGCCCTAGCTAAAACGTAGCAACTTTATTATTGGTAGGGTTTTCCGCAGCCTGGTAAAGAGCTAGGAAAGATAAAAGAAGCCTTTATTAACTCCAAAGACAGAGAGGATCCAGGGAAAATGGGGCAGATCCTCTGGCCTGAGACAAAGAAAGCTGAGGCTTTTCAGGACTTTTGCTAAGGGGTGGCGTTAGAGGGGCAGTTTTAATTATGTGTAAGGAGCTGACTGGGGTCTCTCCTGTGTGTGCAGGAAGGGTGAGAGGAAGTTGTATCCAGGGCTGGGCTGGAGGAGGGGGAAGTGGCTTCTGGGAAGATAAGCTGTTGTTTCAAGGGCTTTAGCCATATTGGATGACCACCATAGTGATTACCCCTTACTCCGTACTGGGGATTGAATTTAGGGCCTTTGCACTGAGCTGCATCCAAAACTCTGGTTTGAGACAGGGGTTAGTGAATTTGCCTAGACTAAGCTCAAAATTGGTATCCTTCTGCCTCAGCCTCCCATAGCGCTGGGATTACAAGTGTGCCTCTTTCTATTTTCTGCTTGTACTAAAATAATTGACCATTTGAAAGTCTCTTATTGGGCTGGGGAGATAGCTCAGCAGTCTAAGTGCTTGCCTGGCAAGTGCAAAAACCCAGGTTTAATCCCTGGCACTGAATGCTGTGCTGGCCCTGGAACCCCAGCTGCGCTGTGCAGGTCACCAAAACAGGGTGTGGTGACATATGCCTGTAATCCCAGCACTGGGGAGGCTGACACAGGAGGATCACTCAAGTCCAAGCTATGTATATAGCAAGAACCTTACCAAATAAATAACTAAATATTAAAAAAGAAAAAGTCTTTTATTAACCAGTCCTGACAAGTATAAACATCTGTAAGTTGAGATAAAAAAAAGACCCAAAAATGTAATAAAGACATTTTAAAATACAAGGGTCCACCTTGTAATGGAAGGTGATGAGTAAATAGAAATGAAAAATGTCAAGAAGATGTAAGTATGGGGATATCTTTAGTAAAAAGAAGAAAGAAGGAAGAGGAGAGGAGAGGAAGAGGAGGAGGACAAAAACATGCTTTTAGTTTTTTGTTACTGTTGCATTTTTGTTTTGTTTTTTGTTTTTTCATGTATTTGGTTGTTGCAGCATCTCACTATGCCACTTGGACTCACAGTGATCCTCCTGCTTTCACCCTCCCCAACGCTGAGATTACAGGTATGCGCCACTATGCCCAGACTCTGGCCTGCTCAACTTTCCCT